TTCTAAGTAGGTGCCTTAGACCACTGAGCCATCTCTCCAGCCCAAGGGTGTCTTCTGCTACAGCCACCTGCTGTGGACATCAGACTCAGCCCTTTTACACATCCACTGCACTCATATTTGCAGCACTCCAGGTAGCTTCCAGGCCTTCAGTCGCAGGTTGGCTCTACAGCCTTGATTCCTTTTGCTCTAAGGCTTGTAGCTTCTTGGATTGGTCTGCACCAGTGGCCCTTCTTAAGACTCCACAGTAACAGTACAGCTTTTCAGCTTTTCGCTTACTGTATAGACTATTTGTGGATGTCCTCACCCAGGTGCACAGCTGTCTAGCAATTCTTAATACCTGGGGGTATTTAAATCACTAGGGGTGTGTGCGTGTGTGTGTGTGTGTGTGTGTGTGTGTGTATGTGTGTGTGTTTTACTGGAGACTGAAGCTGAGGCATAAACTAGCCCTTTGTATTTTGAGATAGGGTCCCACTAAGCTGTTAAATTACCCAAACTTTCAATCTTCCTGCCTCAGTCTTCAGAGTGCTGGGGTTACAAGCTGGGCAGAACTTTCTGATTCTCCTGTTTGCAGCCTCCCAAGCTCTGGGATTACAGGCGTGCACCACCACACCCAGTCTCAGTCACTGTGTCAGAGTGCCGGAGGTGGGGCCGGCACAGCAAGCCAGGGATCAAACCCAGCTGCTGTGCTCTGCCTAAGCAGGCACTTTAGTCGGCTGATCTGTGTTTGACTTTCGAGAACCCACACATGTGTCGGTGTGCGGCTCATTTCACTCAGCACAAAGTTCTTCCATTGCTTCTTTCCTAGGAACTCTCATTTCTCAAGGATCCTTTTTCTTAAAAATCCCATACTTACTTCTATGTCATTTCCACTCTCCAGGTGGCCAGCACACCTTGCTAGTTTTATGCATAAAATGTCTCTTAACTCCATAAAAAACATTATATTGTGTTCTACAAATTTTTCCCCTATTTGCCTTTAAAAAATTAAAAGACATAAATAATACACACACACATAGTTGCTAGGGAACACCCAACTATCTGCACGTGCAACTAGAAATCACCAATCTCAGTCTGTCTTCCGCTTGAGAAATCATTGCTGTCTTTAGCTGGGAATGAGTCCAGGCTCATTTCACCTGTACTGCTACCAGGTACCTGTGCACCTTCTATACGCGTGGAATCAGATTGCTGTGAACCGCTAATGCTGTTCTGCCACTGGCTTTGTTTATTTGATTAGGGCTTTGCTTATTTGTTTTAGTATTAATAGCTCCCTATTCTGTATTACCTAGCAAGGACTCATGATGATTAATTTAACTATTTAATTTTCTATCGATGGTGACCCAATTTTTGTGGCTCTGAACAGTGATGGGTAGTCACCTTTGGCCGTGTTTCTTCACAAGCACACGTGGTTCTCTGGGGCAGAGATTACGAACCCACAGCTCACCTGCCTTAGCAGGCATCTCAGCTACTCTTTCCTTGCTGGCACAAATAAATCGACATTCAAAATGAAGGAGGGGTTGGGGAGGTTAGCTCAGTAGTCTAAAGCGCCTTCTTGAGCAAAATCAGTCAGGGCAAGGGACTGTGGTTCGATCCCTAGCACCACATGCAGCACCAGCCCTGCCATTAAGGCAGCCTGAGCCAGCCAAGGGAAAAAAAAAAAAAAAAAAAAAAGAATCCTTCTCAAATTTTGGGCCACACAGCTAGCTCAGAGGACTAAAGTGCCTGCCTAGGCAGAACGCGGTGGCTGGGGTTCTGTGCCATGTGCTGGACCAGCCTCCGGGGCACACCGGTTGAGACTGGGCATGGTGGCGCACGCCTGTAATTCCAGCATTTGGGAAGATGAAAACAGGAGAATCACTACAAGTCCCATCTATGTAGTGAGACCCTGGAGACCCTGCACCCCACCTCCCTCCCCCCCAAAAGAAGAAAAGGTTTATTTGGCTCACAGTTACTGGAGGTTTCAGTCCAGACTCAGCTGGCTCCATGGCAGAGAGCAACCTTTCATGGTAGCAGCAAAGAGCAAGAGCAAAATGGAGGAGCAACAGCAACAAAGGCTGTAGACAGCGAGTCTGTCTATGTCTCTCGTGTTACATTCAGGCCATCTGTCCCTGGCTGGGTGTAGGGATACAGGGTAAAAAACTGATGTTGGGTGCATGACCTCCAAGTGGAAAAATGATCTTCTAACCTAAAAGGTACCTGGGACAAGTTCGTGTTCTTTAGAACTGAAGAATGAATTTTAGGAATAAATGGAGGTTATAGGCAGAATATATTTATTGGGGGAAAGAAAATTCTTGCCTGAGAGAGGGACAAGAAGGTCCCTGAGCGGGTGGTCCCTGGGAAGCTGTCTCTTCTAGGGACTTTTATAGAGGAAAATCATGTGGTGAGGCAAGTCTAAGGTGGTGAAGAGACGGGAACTCACTTAGGTGGGCTTGAGGTGGGACAAAACTATGGTCAACCAATGAGATTACAAGCACCATTGCTCAGGTAAAATAGATTAAATCCAGTACCAAATGAGGAAGCCAGTCACTTAGCAAGGGGGCATGAGTATGGGAGAGGGTCTCTTCCTGTTGGGGGTTGGGTGACTCATTTGGGCTCTTTCAAGGTGACTGATACCTATTTGGAATATCAATCCCTTATGCCCATCCCTAGGAAAGTATGTAGCCGTGTTTCCTCTTTTGTCTTGAGGTCTGGCCCATAAGGGAATGTCTATCTCTTCCAAGTTGCAATGTCACCTTGTCTTCTATATTGTTTCCTTGAGGGCCTGGCCCTGTCTGACTGCCTAGAATATTTCTATCTAATTCAGCTGCCTACAACAGTAGCACTCACACCCATAATCCCAGCAGTACTAAAACCCATAATCCCAGCCTTGGATCACGAATTAATCACAGAGTGTAGAACTGCACCTCAATGACTGCATGAGGCTTTGGGAGAACAAACAGACACAAACCTTAACAACAGGCTGTTTCTGAGAGCCCTGAAATGTCCACTATCACTGCTCCAGGATGTGTGAAAACTGATTTCTATCCCCACTAATTTGACTAATGTCACCATCACTCTATAGGGATTTTCTCACTATGCAACCCAGACTGTTCTCAAGCTCACAGCAACCTTCCTGCCTCAGTGTGCTAGGTCTGTAGGATTTTTCTTTTTTTTTTTTACAATCATCAACCTCCATCTTGTTTTCCTGTCCTCTCTTCCTAGCTGCCAGCAATATTCCGGTAACTCAGATTCTTTTCCGGAATGCTCTTTTGTCTGCTGCCAGGATAAAACCCTCCCCTCTAGCCACCCATAAACCTCCTTGGTGGTCCCTACTCAATCTAAATATTGGGAGTTCCCAGACTGTCTTGAAGTCTCCTCAGCCTGGGTTCTCTCCCTAGATGTCCTCATCTGTGCTTAAGAGCCCTGTGTAGGAGTGTCTTCCGAATTCCTACCCCAGTCCACCATCTGTTAAGCTCTACTCTCTCCTACCCCACAGCCTGCAGAGCGTCTGCATTTGAATGTATACCTTGTAAGCCCAGAGCTCAACACTTATAGAGAGAGGGACTCCCACCACCCTCCAGCTTCCTCCAGCCCATCTCCCATGACACGCTGCCCACCTAGCCAGGTGCTGTGAGCTGGAAGCCTGAGAGTCACTCTTGCAGTTTGATTTCAAGTCTGGATTCTTCATTCCCTCTAGCACATTCCCACTTCCCCAGTAATGGCTGCCATCAGCCTACTTGCCCCAGGTAACTAAAAATTGAACCGGTTTTCCATAGCTGCCAAAGTGAGCTCCTAACAGCACAGCGTGTAACTCCCTGGCTCACCCTTCAACAGGTTCCTGTCACTCCTAGGACGAGGATGGACTGGGAGGCCTGGGCCCTACACGCTGCCCGGCTTTATTCAGTGCTTCTCTGTCCCCACCACTCAGCTCACAGCCCGTGTGCTCTTCATTTTCACCTGGAAAGTCAATTCCCTGGCTCCTCGCAGGTAACAGGCTGCTGCAGCTATTGAGTTTTGGCTCCAGCACCTCACAGAACCCAAAGCAGGTCTTCATATTCTCCACTACTGTCCCTGACCTTTTGGTTTTGCATCATTGGATATATCAGTCTGTTGTTCACTTGGAACACAAAGTATTTGAGGAAAAGAGGTATCTTATGCACTTAACACCCCACGGAGGCACAGTGCTTGGCCCAGAACAGTCAGTAGTTATCAAAGACTAAATTCATCACTCTGCTTTACCCCGCAAGCACCTGTCATTCAAATCCCAGCTTCCCCACAGGCTTGTTGTGATGCTGGTGCTTAACCTTCCTCCAATCTCACTAGTACCTACATCAAAGACTTACAAAGAATTAACAGCATGATGATGCTTAGTATGCTTACTTCTATGACTTGATTAAAATTGTGAAGTTTCTTTAAGCAGCGCTTTGCTGTGCTCATAAGGTAGGAAACAATCTTTGAATCACTGCTTATCTCCACACATTTCCCATTCGGATTGGAATTCTAATAGTAGATTCTTAGAGTCAAGATCTCTACAGCAATGGCTGGGTGAGCCCCTTGTGAACAGAGCCTGCCTGATTTCTGACACAGTGGACTCTGATCACTTGGGCAGTCAGCAGCTGGTGGCCTGCAGCACGGGAATCTTAAGCAATTCCATCATGTGCAGACAGCAGTGAGGGACCTGCTGATTATTCATACAGCAGAGTGAATGTACCTGCTAGAAGAGAGTCCTGCATTATCTTCTCAATTCATAAAGCTTAGTCTTTTTCCCCATATAGCAATGATTTTTAAAAATCTGAGGACAACCACTGGAAAGAGGGCTAGTAAAATGTTAAAAGAACATATGAAAATGATTACGACAATAGCCTTTTCTTATTTATTTTGAAAGTGATTCAGACACCAGACAATTTTAAAAAGGGTAGAATTAATATTTTATTGTCATTTATAATCAGATGGCAGTTGGGTATATAGTTTCCATACTTATTTTTTTGTAAATTAAAAAAAAATTAAGTTTTAAACAGCTGTAGTTAACGTTCTTCAGAAAAGTTAGACTAACTCATTAATGGTAGCTTCAAGCTTCTCCTTATTAGCGCCGGAAAACTCACTCACCTGTTAAAATAATGAATTGACATTAGATATAGTATTGAACCACTTTTTAAAATTTAATCACAGAACATTAAGAGAAAACGCAATATTTAAAATAAACTTCCCAGATCAACACACATTCAATTTAAAAACAAACCAAAAAACTTTGAGAAGAGTCAATAGCCTCAAGAATAATAATAAAAAAATTACAAATACTTCTTTACAATGCTAACTGATCTATCCAAGTCTAAGAAATCCTATATATTTAAGCAGGAAGCCTCAATTGCAGGGACTGAGTGTCAAGTTTCTTTTTTGAGACAGGGTCTTAATAAGTAGTTCAGGCTGACCTTGAACGCACAGTGGTCCTGCCTCAGCAGGGATTATAGGCATGGGCCCTCAAGCCCTAAAAGGTCAATTTTCAAGCAAGTATCATGTTATCTGCTTACATCAAGAAAAAAAAATGACATTCAATTTTTTTTTTTTCTTTTTTCTGTGCTTCAGGGATTAAGCTAGGGACACTGTACTGAGCTAATTTCCAGTCCTTTTTTATATTTTCAGAGAGTTTCACGAAGTTGCCCAGGCTGGCCTAGAACTCCTGCTTCAGTCTCCCAGAGCACATGTACCGCCACACCCGCTGAAGATACTCTCAAATGCAGAAAGCAGCAACCTGCTTAATACTGTGAAGGGCTAAGCAATTCAGCTGTTTCTTCATTTACATATACCAGGAGCTTTCCTTTTGCCCAGTTAAGCTTTCTCAGGTCAGATGCACCTACCTTCTCCCCCTTTTTAAAAAACTGGAAGGTTGGCATGCACTTGACTTCACAATCTGCAGCAACGTCCTGGGGAGAGCAGAACAGTGGGTGTTGAGCTTCAGTGCAAGCAGTCCACAACCAGACTCCTTCCTGTACCACCCATCCCCACACCTCCGCAACGCGGCACTTCTTAGCACAAGAAAACCAATAAAATGACATGGCGGCACTAACATCAAAATACTATCTATACTTCAAGGGGAACCACAGGCAGAATGCTACCTGGCTTAGGTTAATTTAGTTCTTGGCTATTTCATGGGCTTTTTTTTTTTTTGGAAACAGGGTCTCACTTTCTAGTTCAGGCTGGTCTGGAACTCAATGCCTACTCACAGAGACCTTCCTGCTTCAGGGAGGGCTACAGGCCTGGGCCAGCATACCTGGCCATTATTTTAAAGAAGAAATTCTGGGGGCTGGTGAGATGGCTCAGTGGTCTAAAGCACCTACTTAGAACAAGCTAAGCTAAGCTAAGCAAAGCACAGGGACCACGGTTCAATCCCCCAGCACCACATGCCAGCCAGCCCCGCCCCCTGGTGGGCTGAGCTGGCCACACACACAAAAAAATATAAATAAATAAAATTAAAGAAGAAATTCTGTTTTGTGAATTCAGGACTAGATCTTCACTTTTCCTCAGAACAACAGGTCTTGCTTTGAGCACTTAACTTTTCTAATTTTATGATGGGAGATGGATTCACAGATTGCATATTTAATCACTTCTTTAAGCACCACTCCTAAAACCTTATCAGAGGAAATATAGTGACATAGTCAACATAACTGAGAGAGCTGTCATGCTGTCAGATTTGGGACTTTTTCTTTTTTAACGTATTTGGTAGAGTGGGCTGGTGAGATGGCTCAGTGGTCTAAAGCACCTACTTAGAACAAGCTAAGCTAAGCTAAGCAAAAGCACAGGGACCGCAGTTCAATCCCCCAGCACCACATGCCAGTCAGCCCCGCCCCCTGGTGGGCTGAACTGGCCACACACAACAAAATAAACAAACAAACAAACAAACAAGCTGGGGCCAATGGCACATGCCTAAGTTCAAGTTCTTAAAAAAAAAAAAAAAAGTATTTGGTAGAGAGTCTCACCATGTAGCTCGGACCTAGTGATCTTCCTGTTTTCAGTCTCCCCAGAGCTGGGACTACAGGGATTTGCTACCATGCCCGGACTTAGTGGCTACTTCACCACGCCGGTGGCGGGGCCAGCATGGCAGGTAGCGCTGGGGATCGAACCCTGGTCCCTGTGCTTGCCTAAGAAAGTGCTGAGCCTGCTGAGTTATCCCACTGTCCCGGGGACATTTTAAATCCAGCCAGAGATGAGTATTCTTCCATTTGTGCAACTGTTTACTTTTCAAGAAAATGCAAGTAGATCATAAAAAGTGGGAAGAGGATGTCCACAGACAAGTGTTGCTGATGTTCTGATAGGTGACCCTGGATTCATGCCACAGTGTAATCCCCCACACTGGACTTTTAGGTTGTTTCCCTATATGTACATTCTTGTGAATAAATCCTGACGCTTCCTGAGGGCAAAAACTGTAAAGCAAGATTTCTGGGCTCAAGATAATTTACATACACTTTTTTAAAAATAAAACTCATGTGCCATGCACTGTAATAAACGGACCTTCGCCCATGAAAAAAAGAACATTGCACGTTTGCCCTCTCGCAGCAGATCCGTCATTTTACTCCAAGTGGTTTTCATGTTTACCACTGTAAACATTCTCTCTAGATACACGTTATGTAACTTTTCCAAGTAACTTTTATTAGTTTACCAATATTTATCACGAATCTTACAAGATTTTTATGCAATCAAATCCATATGGACCACCCTACCCATCCTCAACAGCATAAGCTCAACTTCCCCAAGCCACTTCCTCAGTAGCCACAGAGAAAAAAGTGCTAAGGTATCAAGAAGGCCTGCGATGGGGGCAGGTACGGGGCTGTTCATTCTCATGCTTCACATTTTTGAGGCTTTCTAACTTTATATTTCTCTTAGAATTATCTGGAAATAATGAGGTGGAGATGCAACATTTTAATCATATGTCAATACGTAAGTGGACATGGCTCTATTTTCTGGACTTTTGGTTTTTTTTAATTTTTGTTTTTTATTTATTTATTTTGTGTGTGTGTATGTGTGGCCAGCTCAGCAAACCAGGGGGCGGGGCTGGCTGGCATGTGGTGCTGGGGGATTGAACTGCGGTCCCTGTGCATTGTTAAGCTTGTTCTAAGTAGGTGCTTTAGACCTCTGAGCCATCTCACCAACCCTGGACTTTTGGTTTTCTGAGACAAGGCTTGTTATATAGATTAGGCTGGCCTTGAACTCATCACGTAGCCCAGGCTGGCCTCAAACTTGAGGCAACCTTCCTGCCTCTGCCTCCTGAGTGCAGGTGTGTCTTCCCCATGCCCACCTTGGACTTTCCTATTCTAGGGATTAACCTCCTCTGGGTACAGAAACACAAAATTAGTGCAGTGAACATGCACTTCATTTTTATGAAGCTTCTGCTAACTCCTTTCCCTATTTAATGTTTTTAAAAATCCAGGATTTTCCTTGCTGTTACTATTTCAGAATATCATACTGAAGTTAAAAAAAGAAAAGTTGGGTAAAACTGGATTACTATTAGATAAATTCAGGAGTACTGACACCATATTAATGTTGCGTAAATATTTTATGGAGCTCTATAAAGTGATAGTTTTTCCCAATCTCAGATTTTGATAAGAAAATAAGACTATATTTACCTTACAAAACTTAATTTTGATTTCTAGGTTAAACTCTAGAGTCAAAGTAACTCACTCCTGACTCTTCTAGTCAAAATTCAAACACATGGCATTTGCAAAGGGAGCAAACTATTCCTGTCTAAATCACTTTTGCTTCATTTACAAGGTAAGCATCATCCCCTGCTGGCTGCCAAAGAGGTCTGTCCAATGTCTAGTCTATCGTCTCCCCAGTACTCACGCTTTTCTATGACTACAAACTCACCTTTACCCATGCAGGCCTGTACCTATCCATTTGAACCTAGGATACCTATGAAATAATTTCTTCCTGTTCAAGTATTTCAAGATCTCTCCATGTTGCTCAATCTTTCTTTCTTTTTTTAAAAATCTTTGTCATAGGCTCTCACTGTGTAATTCAGGCTGGCCTTGAACTTGCAGCAATTTTTCTACCTCAGCCTCCTGCATACTGGGATTCCAGGCGTGTACCACCACACCCAGGCCTGCTGCTCAATCTTGGGGATGAATTCAGCGTTCAGAATGCTTCTGACTTCAAAGCACCTTGGACTCTGCATTAGGGATGCTTAATGTGCGTGTAGTAGTACCCTAACTTCATAGAGAACTTATTACATGCCAGATACTGTTCTAAGCACTCAACACTGGCAACTACTTTACAGATGATGAAACGGAGGCATGGAAGAGAGAATGATTTATGCAAGCCTCTGCTGAACTTCTATAGAAATAAAGCAAGTGGTCTGGATGCAGAATCTGTCCTACTTCATTACCATAAATGCAGGAGGAAAATGGGAGGAAAGAACATCCTAAGGACAAAGAAAAAGCTTGCTGAAGGCACAAAGGGGAGCTCACTGGAGAAGACTATGAACGAGAGGTGAAGATTAACCAGAGGCTAGCACGGTAGGAGAGAAGAGGACAGAACAGAGAAGACAGCGAAAAGGCAGGCCTCTTCCAGGCAGTCAGAAAAAGAAGCCCCTGGTGGTGGTGGGCTCTCACGAGCTTAGGGAGCCCTGGTGGGTACTGGTTTTACGTGACCCTCCAGCACCTTTAGTGGGCATGTTTGCTGAGCAAATGCAACTGTGGGAGGCTAAAACAGCAGGCAGAGAAAGCACTGGATTCAAGGCTGAGCGCCTCTGTCACCACAGAACACTACCAGACGTGAGCATGCTCACTCATCTGTAAAGAGGCCTGAGACGCTGCATCTGGGACAGTTCTCCCAGTTCAGGGGCTGTGTGGCAGGCGAGGTCACATGCTGGGGACCCGCTCTGGGCCTGCCACAAGCCAGCATCCTCTGAAGTTCAGTGGGGAAGAGCGCAGGGGAGCCGGACTACTTCACTCTAAATGCTCTGCTGTGCAGGACATGCAACTCCAGGGACAGTCTCTCTGCTTAAGGTTTCTCATGTCTAAGCCAGTGCTTAGAACACAAAGGACTGAATGAGTCAACATGTACGAAGCACACAGAACTGTGTGCTATCAAGTGTAAAACACAATTCTGTTTAATAAAACTATGGTGGAATTTCCTACCAATTAGTCTTAGCTCTCTAAATTACTTTTTGTTTAAATTAACTGGGTTACCTTTTTTTTCCTTCCCTCCTTCTCTTCCTCCTCCTCCTCCTTGGCAGTACTGAGAATTGAACCCAGGGTGTTTCCACTAAGCTGTATCTCCAGCTGCTATGGTTTGTGTCTAGTTGTCCCTCCAAAGCCTCATGCAATCATGGGTTAGACTTCTAGAGGTTGTAACTAAATCTTAATAAGCTGCTAGGGTTATGGGTTGAGTACTACACCTGGCCCGGGATGGAGAGCCTGAACACTTTAAGGGACAGGCTTGCTCTCTGACGTGGCTGCTAATGCTGCTCTGCCCTTTTGTCTTTATTGTTTTACTGTTTTCCAATGAGCTGCTGCCCTCTGCCATGTGCCACTCTGCCTTGGAGCCGGCTGAGTATGGACTGAAACCTCCACAAACTGTGAGCTAAATAAACCCTTCCTTCCTTAATTCTGGGTATTATGTCCCAGCAACCAGAGAAAAGTAACTGAAGACACCAGCTGTGCTTTATACATTTTTTGAGACAGGGTCGGACTACATTGCCTAGTGCAGACTCAAACCTGTAATCATCCTGCCTCAGCCTACTTTGTTGGGAATTCCAGGTGTGTGTGAGGTACTGCAGACTAAAATCAACCAAGATGAAACAGGCTTGTAAATACCCATCCCTGTGTCACAGAAAGTTCATGAAGAATCTTTAAAATGACTTCACAATTTGGCCATACCATCTATGGGTTTCTTGTAGTTAAATCTGATTTGCTTATTGAGCCATTTTAGAATGGCAGATGTATGGTTTTGGAAAGGTATGGCAGGGACAAGATACAGAAGCCTCTACCACCTGTACCTCATCTACTTCTAGGCTTTTATTAAGGATGTGATACACACAGCTCCTGATGTCTCATTAAACCCACAATCCAATCTTTCTGAAATAGAATGCTTTAGATAGGATTATTCTAGTTTTTTCTCTTAATTCAATGAGAAGATCTGTACGAATAGCGTTTGGACAGGATATCATGTCTGCAACTTGCAATATGAACAACCACTAAGAAGACAACAATATGCAATGTATTCATTACTGCAACTGTCCTAGTAACCTGTTTTGAAACTGTCTCATTGCTATTTGTTTCTCAATAAAGTTATTTATTAAAAAGGATTATTCTAGTTTTATCTGATGTGTTTATAGGAGAAAAACATTGCACATTTCAGACACAAAGCCTAATCTGAGAAGAGCAGCAGTCTCTCGGATTTTCAGCTACATACCTGACAGTCATCCACATCTACTTCAAGGAACAACACGTTGGAATATTTTTCAGACAGGGACTAGAAAATTTAAAATGAAAAATTCAAACATATTTTCAACTGGGTAAGACAATCAACAGTCAAACTTCTTCAATAGAAAACTAGGGACCAGAGAAGCATTAAGGAATCAAATTCATCCTAGTGCAAAGTAATTTGGCACACTGACTAGGTACGAGTACTAAATTTCACAGTGGGCATATTCCAATTTGAAAAAAGGGAAAACCAATTAAGATGAGGGAAATGAATTTCTGAAAATTGTCTGCAATGGACTCCCTGTGCCACACCCACATTATATATATTATTTTCAAGCAATTACCCAACAAAACAAAACCCCAAATGCTCAAACTCTTTTCTTTTAGCTTTAATAACCCTCAAATCACAAACCTGTTATACGTACATGAAAGAAAGGCTTGATCATTTTGCAAGGTCCACACCACGTGGCTGAGAAATCAACTACTACAAGTTTATCTCCGGCAGCAGCCAGGGCTTCCTGAAAGGCCTCCTACAAAGGACAAAACAAAACGTTAAATATAGTAGATCATTTCTCAAAGTCTGGAGATCTCTATAAGGTGACACAAAACACAAGCAACAGGTCCTATTTCCACAGCACACTTTTGACCCAGAAACTCTCCTCAAACAAGCCAAGTCAACTGGTTTGAAGAAATTCTATGCACCACTGGTAGTTCTAATGATAAGGTAAAACAAAACATATGTGGACTATAGTGACAGTCACATCCTCATGATTTTATAAAATGTTATGAATTCCCTAAATTACATTCAGATGGAGCAAATGAAAGGGAAATAAAAATTAATATTCATACTGAAAACATCTCTATATCAAATGTAGGTATATGGTAGTCACTAGATTCTTATGGATTGATGGGGGCCAATTGAAATTGGAGGTTACAAAGACACAAATTGCCCAAGGGAAGCAAGTGTTACTTGCCCCGCCCCCCCCCATTTGGAATACTGGATCCATTCCTTTGCTCTGGAAAAGAAAAAAAACAAAATGTTCAGAAAACAACCCTCTAATACTCAATCACACTGGCATAGGCATAGTCCAGGGTTGAGATGGCACTGCTGACCCACCTTTGACTTTTGTCCTTTGCCCTGAAACTATGCCCTCATGTTTGTGGAATGAACCATAGTGTTAAGTTTTCTGCAAAGGAAATTTTCTGTATGCATTATTTTGTGTGACACATGGTGAGTGAAATTCCCAGCAGAACTGATGGAGAAATCCCTTATCACCAAAGTCCCTGAATTATTTACCAATGGTCTCAATACTGTAACCCTAGAAACCTAATAGTCTAGTTACAGGGGACACATTTTAACCACAATTAGTTAGAGTTTGGTGACCAAACTCAAACAGGAACAACAAAGACAAAAACACAAGCATCTGTATCTGAAGTCTACAGCTCTTTTTTCAGGGAAAAATGTTGGTCAAATTACTTTAATCAAAACCTAACACACCACCCCACCCCCGCCCCTAGAATTTAAGAATCATATTAGATCTGGTCCCGTAAAAAGAGAGTAAATCAAACAAAACCCTAACCACTAAAAACTAGAATGTGAGTTCTCAATGAAGTACACTTAATTCTCTAGATTTTTAAAATTCTAACTCATATGCCGGAAACAGTCACAAGTGGTAGGTATTCTTAAGAATGATACAAAATAGCATGACACGCCTTTATACATTTTTGTTTTTTTGAGATTGGGTTTGCCCATGCAGCCCAGGCTGCTCACAACGATGATTCCGCCGCAGCCTCCTGTGAATGCTGGAATTATGAGCATGCACCACCATGCCGAGCATGACAAGACTTCAACAAATTCACTTATACAGGCCCACTAGCCCCATCTTTGTGTATGGATATGGGTTGAAGGGTGGGAGGGGTTAGAAATAGCCAAAAACAAGTTATAAGCATGGATATTACTTTTTCAACCACTAGTGACTGTTCTGGGTGAATTTCAAAGTTTTCCTTTTTTCAAAGTCTAGTAATACATTCTGTACTGCAAAGTTCAGGTTAAGATGGTAAAAATGGCAGAGTAACAGTGTCTGGCCTGGTGAACATGTTCTTTTTATGAAGATGGCTGACCCTGATAAAAAAACTTTAAGAGGTTAACTTTCAAGGTAGAACAGTATTTCATTTCATTTTCACTTTCTTTTTTTTTTTTGAGACAAGGTCTTGCTGTGAAATCCAATGTGGCCTGGAGCTTACTATGTAGGCTAGACTGGCCTCAAAAGCAATCCTCCTGCCTCAGCCGCTGCCTGCTGGGCTTACAGGCATGCACCACCACACCCAGTGAAAGAACGGCATTTCCTTAAAGCAGTTCTGAATTAAATTTAAGCAAATTACCTGAAATTCTGTAAGCAATAGCAACACTGGGCTAATTATGAGTAAAAGCCAGGTGTGTGCAGATTTCATATGCAAATTTCTCTTTGGATCCTCAGGTTTACCTGAAATATTTACAGATACTGGCTTGAAAAATCTAAGGAGGGATGGCCAAATAGCTCAGCAGATTAAAGCACTTGCAAGCAGGCACAAGGGTCAGGGGTTCAATCCTCGGGCCTGCTGTTGTTGGCCCCGCCCACAGGGCTCACTGAGACAGCAACTAAGACTGGGTGTGGTGGAGACACCTGTAATCCCAGCTCTTGGGAGGCTGTAAACAGGCAGATTACTATGAATCCCTAAAATACGAAAAAAAGAAAAAAAGGGGGGGGTGCAGGGAGATGGCTCAGTAGAATAAGCGCAAGGGCATGAGTTCAATCCCAGTTCTGCAAAACAAACAAACAAACACTTCTAAGGTTACCTTACTAAAATACCAATCTCACCCAGAAGGGGTTGTCTGCACGTGCCGAAGGCAGATGGCAGACAGATCAGAAGTCCAATCCCAATCCCAACCTAAGCAACTAAGCAAGATCCTGTCTCAGGAAAAAAAAAAAAAAAAAAGTAAACAAGAAACCAATGACAATATGTAACTTCCAGAAACCAAGGATCACAACTTGGGGATAAAACATCCCCAAGACTAACAATCTGCAAACAACCCACAGGCAGGGTGCATAAAAAGAGCAATAACTCTTCCCAAACATATCCAACCCAAGGGGAACCATGAATTACTTAGCCAAGTGCCCTGTGTGTAGAAGTTCAGTAAGTGGTAGCTGCAGCTGTCATTCTTCAAAAAGAACAAGTAACACAACTGTTCATTTCTTTTTTCCTATTACATAGACAGACCATTATTCCACTCACATCTGGGACAGACCTGAGCAACCCCAAACTACCTATGCAGTGCTTCAAAAACAGTTTAGATGTCTAATGGACTAACTTTGGTCCACCAGGAGGAAATTTTAAAGTATACCTAATACTTAGAAATAACGAGTCTAGTTTTTTTTTTGGTGGAACCAGAGATTGAACTCAGGCCCTTGTGCTTGCCAGGCAAGCGCTTATTCTGAGCTATCTCCCTGGCCCCCAGACTAGTTAACTTCTGATTGGTGATTCTGGATTACAAGATCAACTGAACACCCTGGGGGCCTCGGGACCCACTGTGTGGTACTATTTAGAGTAAGCATTTCCCATGGCCTCTGCACACCTTTCTTAGTGGAAGAGAGGAAGCTATCACACCTAACTCAAATAGGGAAGTGCGCCCCAGGAGCCAAACCAACTTTCTGTTGCCAGTGGATGCACTGTGAGCAAACTAACACATGCCACTCGGATGTCCCCTGGCTCCTTTACTGAGTTCTCTCTCACCTGCGGCATTAGTCTGATGAGGTTCTGTGACCCGAAAGAGCAGAACTCAACCCTCTTCTTCCTCTGGCACAGAGCAGGTGTTGAAAAAATGGACAAGGAACAAAACGCTATCAAGAATGTCTTTGCCACAAATGAGTCGGCTATTTTTATTATAAAATGAGGATTCTAGTAAGAAAAACTGATTCAGGACAAGATAACAGATGACGGCAATATGAGAAAAAAAAATTAACAATAAAGTAGCAAAAGGATCTTGTATCACTACAGACCTCGACTGCAACATTATTTCCGTTTTGAGGCCAATCCAGTACTACACAGGTGCGCAAGACCAGCGGGCTGGGTGGAGGGTGTCGCGCCGTACACACCTGCTGGCGGCGTCCTTTCATTCATCAATTTCCCCCAACTCAATTTCTGACCCGCCTTGGAGCAGACATTTCCTGAATGGCTACCACCAGCACTGTTTCTCAACCTGGAGGGTATTACTAGGCTCACAGTAGTTCCAAATACCGGAACACTTTCTCCCTTGGACGTTCTTAAAAGGACAGAACCAGGGGCTGGGTACTCGTAGGCGTAGGCCTTGGAGCGCCCATCCCCGCGCAGCTACACCCAGCGGGAACTCGGGTTCCAAAAAGAAACCTACTGACCTGATGAATCACGAGTGGGCAGGGCTAGAGCGCCCTGGGCCGGCCTTGGGGACCGAGTCATGCCAAAGCCAGAGCTGCCGGAAACACGCTCGGCGCCGCGGGAGTCGCCGGGCGGCGTGGCCCGGACCTCCCTTCCTCGGGGCCACCTGGGGCGCGCGCCGAGGGTCTCCAGCCGGGTCGCCCTGCTCGCGTCCCTCGGGCCCGCAGGGATGGGGGCAGCCAGAGCCCCGAAACCAGACCCTGCGGGGTCACGGGCGGCCCTCTTCATCCCCACACCTTTTCCCGGTCGCGGCTACCGGGGCGGGATGGGGGTGAGCGAGCCGGGCAAGCAGACCCAGCGAGCCCCGCAAGCGTGCATCCCCGGGACGCACTGGGCGCGGCCAGCGCCGGGCACCGTGACCCCGCCCTCCACGGGGCCTCCCCAGGCCAAGCTCCAGAGCCTCGGACGCGCCCAGGCCCGGGCTCCTCTCCGACCCAGGCCGAGCCGCGGCGGCTCCTGCTCGGCGCGCCGCCTTCAGCAGCTCCGGAGGGTGCGCGTGTCTTCCTGGCCTACCCAGGGAGCACTTACTTTGCTTTCGATCTGCTGCACCATGCTGGCTGCCGGGGACTTGGCGAGCTACCGAAGCAAACGGTAGAAGCAGATGGAAGGCGCGGGACGGAGCTCGGAGCGAACGCGCAGCCCGCCTTCTCTTTATAGCGACGGGGCGGGGCGGGGCGGGGCGGGGCGGCGGGAGCGCGCGCGTGCGTGTGGCGGGAGCGCGCCCGCTCAGGCCTCCCCGTGCTCGCCCTAGCGCTGCGGCCAAGCACCGCCCCCGGAGCGGTGGAGCCCTGCGAGGGGCGTGGCCTCTAGGAGGGCGGGGCTTATGACCGGGCGGGGCTTAACACGTAGAGAGCTGTCAGTCGGGGAGGCGGGGCGCCCTTAAGGGCCTTGGTACTACGCGCTGTAGTGGGCGGCGCACGGCCTCCCAGGGCCACAGTGCCCCTCCCAGGTCACAGGCGAATGCATCAGCCAAGCCTTAGAAACGCCCAGGTTCGAGACGAACAGTCTGAGACCTCCCAGACTGGGCTGATTTCTCGGAAAGGCCAGCCTAGCCCTGGCTCCACTGCATCATGCGCCGAGCACCTTGCAAAGTGCTGAGTAACGGTGACTGGGAAGTAACTGCACGCCCTCGCCTCTTTTCCGGGTTTTACCACGAAGGCTCTCTTCGTCTTCTTTGCTCCTATCCTTTGACTTTCACGGGTGAACGCGCTGCTCCAGAGTGAGAGCAGTTTAATGCAGTGAGGTCCAGACGGCAGGGACAGAGGGCTGGGACAGTGGCTGGGCTCTAAACCCAGGACGGCTGCTTGTGAGATGTAGGCGCGGGCGCGGCGTGGGAGAATTCTGCTGCGGAGTCACAGCTGTGACCCTGGGCGCGTCCTGACCTCCGATGTCTCCGTTTTCCGTCTTGTGACCTGGTGATCGTGGTGGTCTCCACGTCTCGGTGGTGCTGTTATAAACTGATGAGGGTCGTGCTTGGCACGTAGGAGCCACTCAATAAATTGTTGAAGTTGTTGTAATTATAGCTGTTGTGAGTACTAATTAGGCTTGTTTGGGGCCACGAGGGGCTGGGCTGCCTTATATTTACGAGGACAGCAGTGCACACACATTTGAGAGGATTTTTTTTTTTTTTTTCAATCCCAGCAGATGTCTACAATACTTCGTATTGGTGCAGGGTGGCGCCGGCGGGCCGTACTCTAACTGGCGTTGTATAGCCAGGAGGGCCTGTCTGCAGCTGGAAATGGACATTGGAAGAGCAGTGAGAGCCAGAAACTGGGCCGGAAGGTACTGGGTCTGCGTTTTCAGAGCTGGGCAGCTCTGGTTGAAGCTGCATCTAGGTGTCCTTGCCTGGCCTTCGCATTGCCTCTGGCTTCCCCTACAAGAGCAGATGTAGAGGGTGTTACAAGCACAGAGAAGGAGGAACCCGGAGGCCAAAGCGGGTATGTCAGTATCGGGACTGCGCATAGGCTCCCTCATCCTCGTTCACACTTAGTTGGGTAAGTCCAGGTCAGCCTAAGTAGCTCTTCAGTGCCTCTGTTTCCTCATCTGTAAAATGGAGATAATACTACCTTGTGCTATGAAAAGGACTGAGTGAAATGGAGTACTGCATGTATGAAGCTCTTGGAACTGTTCCCAGTGAGTAATGAGTTCTACATGAACTATGACTATTATAGATCTGACAAAGGAAGGTGAAGGATGACAGAGGAAGGTGAGGGACTGCAGAGCTAGAGTGCGGGGGCGGGGGTGGAACAGGTGTTAATGTTGAATGAAATAAGCAGGACATTTGTAATGAGCCTTGAGCTCTGTAATCTGAGTCTGAAGAAGGGCAGACAAGCCGGCTGGGTGTTGTCACAAGAAGCAAGGACCCCTGCCTGCAGAGACCCAGGCGACCATCTTCAGGATTTTAGTTGTAGGAAGGTGACATGCCACAAGGACAGTGAAGTGCCAGCTTCTTGTTTGTGATGGTCCAGACTGAGAGGACTCATTTGTGAGCAAAGTGCAGAGGCAGGAGGAGTGGGAGGGGATGTACAGGCCTTCATTTGAGGAACTGACAGAATGTTTTAGGCAGAACTCTCTGTTGTAAGTAAGTCTAGCATTAACCCATGAGAGAATTGTGAATTCATATTACCAGGCGCTCTAGGAAGCTAAAGCTGTCTCACAGCACCACCTGGATTGTTTCATTTTTGGCCAGGCCATTTACCTTAACTGAGACTGACCCACGAATCCTGGGACTTAGGTCCCTGTGGTTGGGCATCTCTGCAGAAAGAATGACCATCTCCCTTGTTCTTGTTTTTCTTTTTTGTATTTTAGGGAAGGGTCAACAGGGTGTTCAGGGTCTCACTACTGGATCCTACTCGTAGTGCTCCACCTGTTTACAGCTTCCCAAGAGCTGGGATTACAGGCGCAAGCCACCACACCCAGTCTCGGTTGCCGTCTCAGCAAGCCCTGGGGGTAGGGCCGACCCGGCAGGCCTGCTCCCTTGTTCTTAGAGGGGTCCCAGAGGCTGACCTTCATGGACAGATTTAGCCTTGGTTGAACCACTGGACTAGGAGTAGGGAAAATCCGGAGATCTAGGAAAAGGGGAGATGGATGGTGGAGGAGCAAGAAGGATTTTCATGTTAAGAGAAAAAAAAAAAAATAGCAGAGGGGATGAGCTTTCTTCAGACTTCTGCGTTAGCTCAGTCTGAGGCTCTGTGTGGGACTGCAGAACTAGGTCAGCTGCTTTGTTTGGGTTTCACTCTGGCTTTGAAGAAAATGTAGCCTCAGTGAATTTAAAGCAAGTTTTTCTCAGCTCCTAGGTTTCTTTGTCTACTTAATTCAACCTGGCTGTGGTGGTGGGGTGATTATGTAGGGTGCTGGGCCACATCCAACAGATGTGGCGAAATCAGCCTTTTGAGGTAGTCTTGGACCTGCACTTAAAAATATGCCAAGCAATTAAGTACACTTAAGATTTGATAAACCTTGACCTGGGATCTTCAAAGAGAGTCCAGTATGTAAGTTTAAAGACTGTCTAGCACGAGTTGAAATGAGGACACAAAAGAGAACGTGTTGACATAAAGTAAGTTCACTGTAAGGTGATAAGGAAAGTGGTAGAAGGAAAAAGGACAAATAGGTGAATTATCAGTAATGCCAGGCCCACCCTGGGTGTGATTCATTCCTCTCCTCGGCCCTTAGGAGACAGATGCTGCTTTCCCCATCACACAGAGAAGGACATCAGTCAGTGAGGATATCAGGCTAAACAAGAAGCTCGCTTATTCTTTACTGTCCTCCAAAGATGAGGGAATGCTGGCACAGTTTTTAAGCACTTCCACAAGTGGTGAAAACATTTTCACCAGTGAAAATATCTAACATACCTTATGCTACTGTATATATTCTAGAGATTATATTATTTTAAATGCTATTTGGATTTTTAAAACTAATTTATATACAACTATATGCCACATATTTAATGCTAAGTATTTCAGTATAAGTTTCAGATATATAATAACCTTTGTGAATAACCTGTTTTCTATATGACTGCTTGTTGTCTTCCCAGATATGACCCACAGATCCCCCCTTGCTGCCCGTAAAACACTTCCATCGCACCCTTTGAAACATCTACCTTCAGTAACCACCACAGGGTCTCACTATGTAGATAGGGTTCATAGTGATCTTCCTGATTTCAGTCTCTCAAGCCCTGGGATTATAGGCACATGCCACCATTCCCTATCTCAGTTCCCATCTCAGCACACCCTGAGGGTGGGGGCAGCACAGCATGTGGAGCTGGGAATTGAACCCTGGTCCCTGTGCTTTGCCTAAGCAGGTGCTTTAATTTCCTGAGCTGTCAGACAGCCATTGTTTTTTTTTTTTCATAATTTTATTGAGAAGCAAATAGCAATGAGACAGTTTCAAATCAAATTGATAGGACAGTTTCAATAATTAACACATTGCATGCATTTTTTTTTTCATACTTTTATTGAGAAACAAATTGTTTTTGTTTTTGAGACAGGGACTCATTCTGTAGTTCAGGCTAGACTTGAACTTACTGTGTAGCCCAGGGTAGCCTCAAAATCATGGCAATCATCCTGCCTCCGTCTCATGCGTGCTGGGATTATAGGTATGAATCATGGCCTTTCCTTGGATTTCTTTCTTTCTTATTTATTTATTTTTTGCCTTGAAGTTTTGCTCTTCTCAGTGCATGTCGCTGTATGACATACAGCGTGCTCCATGTGTCGGGACCAGGAGGTCAGGAAGTGCTTTCCTTAGGTGCTTCCACACTTTCCAAAAACCTCATGGATTTCAGGGTTAAAAATTCTTTTTTAGGGCTGGCGAGGTAGCTCAGTGGAGTAAGTGCCTGCTTAGGCAAGCGCTGGGACCAGGGTTCGATCCTTGGTGGGCAGTGCTGGCTCTGCCCCCAGGGTCATTGAACCAGCCACTGAGACCAGACTGGTGGCGCGCACCTGTAATCCCAGTGCTGGGGAGGCTGAAAACAGGAAGATCACTATGAGTCCAAGCTGCATAGTGAGACCCTGTACCAAATACATACAAAGATAAAATATCTTTTTTAGGGGAATGTGGAGGCAAAGTAGAACTTGACTCATACCTCATGCCATGCAATAAAATTCCATGACCTTTGGTATACAACTCCCTGAAGATACTGGAGACAATCTTTGCAACTTTGGAGCACTCATGCATATTTTATCAGGCAGGATATAGACATTCACTAACTATAAAAAAAAAATCAGTTTAATTTTATATTACCTCAAAAAGTGGCAAGTATTTGAGGTGGTGCATAGGTTAGTTTGATTCAGCCATTGCACAACGTGTGTATGCACCTAGATATGTATATATGTGATGTGCTACATATATCAAAACATGTTGCAGCCAGACATGGTGATGTACGTCTGTAATTCCAGCTGCTCGGAGGCTGACACAGGAGGAGTTCAAGGCCAGCCTAGGTAACCTAGCAAGATGCTAACTCAAAAAGGACTGGAAATGTGGTTCAGTGTTCCTTAGTTCAACCTCCAGTAATGGAAAACAAAGGGGCCAGAGAGATGGCTCAGTAGATTAAGTGCTTGCCTGGCAAGCCTAAGGTCGTGAGTTCAATCCCTACCACACACACACACCAAAAAAAAAAAAAAAAGGAAAACAAAATATATTGCACAGCACAAATATGTGTT